TTAAATCTTAACAAATGCCGACCAAAACAGATGTGTAGAAAATGCTGACCTGGCATCAACTGGCTGTATGTAGATTTCATGGTTTTTCCTTTATATAGCATAAATATAAGCCAGTTTCTGTTTATAGGAAAACTGTGTATTACTAGAAAGAAAAGAAGAAGATTCTAGAAAGATTCATTTTTAACATTTCACAGATTATTTAAAATCTCATTATCTTTCAGCTTGAGGGGAAAAATGAATTTTTAATTATCCTGTGGGGGGAATTCTTTTTTCCTTTCATCTACATTTCAGAGTGTGAGAATTGCTATTGTTTGAAACAGATATGAAAATTCCTTCTCATGCATATCTAATATGTTAAAAATGTTTGAAATTCTGCCATAACAAAAATTACACATTTATTTTAAAATATGAATGTGTTCTTGGCCTCTTGGTTTAAGAAATTCAAGTCTTTAAAAATCTTCCTTTATTATTCTAACATAATAGTGCATAACATAGTTTATTGTAGTTTTCATGTGTGTGCACAGAAGTGTTTGAGGAGATCTGAGGTGGAATAAGAGGTTGTTGTACATGTGGGCAATAAGAACATATTTCATAATTTTATTAATTTCAAAACTTTTAAAATAAACCCTTAAACAATTAATTAGTTATGCTAACATCAGTATGGACATTAAAAATGAAATTTATGTGTTTGTTATTCATTATCAAGCAAATATTTGAATATTTTCAAACTTCTGAATACAAAAAGGAGGAAGGATTATGAGGAGGATCATTATACAAGCATGCTTACAAGATCTTCACCCATTACGTTAGTTGACTGGCCACACATGCCAGTCCCTGTTTTATATTATATAGGGTTACCATAATATTTTTTGTTCAAACCAGGACATTACTTACAACAAAAAATGAAACCTATTAGGTTAAGTACCTATAATTGAAAAATCTAAATCTAAAACCTAAAATAACAACAGAGTGAAAAGAAATTTAGAATAGTTATAGGAAGAAACTATATCAATAGTATGAACTATTTTTAAAAATTCTTAAAAGCGCTGTTAATATTTCATTTTGTCAGCACAATCACAAACGTTTTTCAAAAATGAATAATCTTTTTTTTAATCCATCAGTAAACATAAAATTTCTCTTTATAATTTTAACTCACAATTTGAATTGAACATGCTGCAACAATGATGTGACTAGTGTAAGTTTCAGTGCTACCAACATTGATTGAAATAAAATATCTGGATTTTATAGCTTTTGTAAATTCTATTGGATCTACATGCTTTTCTAAATTCTGTAAAAAATATGTTGAATAAAAGATCTAAATTCATTAAGCCATATGCTGTAATTTTTTTTTGGGGGGGGGCATCTAGACAACATTAAAAGTACTTAGATCTATGCACAAATATTTAGATTGACAAAGTGAGCGTAACAGAGATGTTTTAATTTCTGTTTTGCCCCAAAGATGCACTGTTTTTACTTTTTGTATATTCAGTGCTTTTAAAATTTCGCTAAATAACTGGGACAAACTGGATGGAGCACAAGGATCACTTCATCAAACCAGAATTGATAAGCTTACATATATGTGCATTTAGTATTTTTACTCCATGAAGACATGCAAAGTATGCAGTAGCAGGAATTTTTGCATGCTTTTTAGTTTTATTGCTTACAATAAATATTCTGAGAAATCTTTAGTCATTATCAGTCTATTTACAAATTTTGTGTCGCACTTTAGCTTAGAATTTAATGCTGTGCAAGTGTAATAAATACATCAAAATTTCAAGATGTATCCATTGAGGTGCATAAAGACAAAATTCAAATGGGATGGATCCATATTTTCATGGGATGGAATAAGAAGAAAACAGCTAAGCCAGTAAAGTATTCACATTGTAAATAAATAGGAGTTATTATTTTCAAAATAATAATAATAATAATCTCTTGTAACAAAAAAGTTGTAACTGTCTTTTGTTTCTTGGCTGCTTTTTCCCTAAATTGAACATTTCCGATCTTGCAGCAAAAATATCATTCACAAACAATTAATTTGGTAAACAACAATTCATAAAATGATGGATGCAGGAATAAATAATACTTTTTGAAAATAATTGTTATGTGAATGATATATGAATTTTTTTAGTATATTATTGTTTATAGAGTAGGGTAGAGAACAGACTCAAAGAGGCCAGTAATAGAAAAACCTTGAGGTTAGAAAACAATCAGTTAGACAGTCTCCATATGGAAACTGAAGAATTTCCACTTAAATTATTCACACAGGTCCAGTAAAAAATTGTTATAAGCCCATTATATTACGTTCCATGCTGGAAAAAAAAATCATCACTAAAATTAATCAAAAAAGTACTTTTAATTTGGTGTCTATTTCAAATAAAATAAGGTTAATTTCAAGGACACACGCCCTTTTTCAGGAGCAAAAATAGGAGGGGCAACAACCATTTTATCTTGACAGCAATCGATGGAACAAGGCAAAAATAAATATAGCACCATCTGTTAAGGAAACTTAGAAAACTAAAGCATTAGAATTGTGAAAGTGTTAGGAAGAACTGGATTGGAAAATTAAGAAGATAATTTTTTAATGAACATCAGAAGTTTCAAAAAAAGTTCATTCACTGAAGAAATTTTACAGATAACTTTCACAAAACCAAAGTCAAAATTGTGATTAGGTATTAAGATATTATTAGTTATTGAAAGTTTATTTATTTCTCCTTTTTGAATATAAGAATCGTATTCTGCGAGATAAAATTTTAACACTCTTAGTTTGGCCGATGTAGTAGTGAGCCACATTTACAAGATATACCATAAAGTTCCTAAGAAGTAAAATCAGAGATGGGATCAAGCAACAGATTATACTAATAGGTGAGAAAATGAGGGTTGAACTTATTATATTTTACACTTTTATATTGGTGTGTTTCTCTTCCAATGTGATTACCACTTTAGTTTTAAAATAATGATAATATTGTACTCACTATTTTTTAGACGATTTATTTTATACATAAGTGACAAGATGTAATTTACATTTGGTAGTAATTGGCTACACAATGTTTTATTTTTTTACCGCATATTGTTGCTCCCCCCTCCCATAGAATAATTGGTACTATTCCGTTTTGAGGATCATAAAAAAAAATTGCAGCAAAATTGTATGCGCAAAATCACCAAATCTAGCAAACAGCGTGCCCATTTAACAGTGCGCCAAATGAACATGCAAGCTGATTTCAGATTGCATAAGTTTATATAGTTCTGTATTTCTTAAGATGCCATTGAAATACTAGTTTAATTTTTAAATCCTTTTTTGATATCCTATGGATTTAACAATTTGGGAATTGCCCATGTTGAAAAGTCTGCAGTAGAATTTTGGGTAAACTGCAGAATCACCCCTGCTTGACACATTTTTAAGAATTGCACATACTCGGTATCCATGTATACATTGACCTATTTTCACTTTTAAAAAAAAAATCTCAGAATTGCACAAAAATGGCACTACGCACACCCTTGACTTTATCTATGTACACATCGACCTATTTTCACTTAAAAAGTAAAAGAAAATTGACAAAAATCCAGTTGTTTTTACCCATGGAAAAAGCGGCAAACAAATAAATGGGCAATTCTGCACTTTACCGAGAATTTTTTCAAAGAAAAAGAATTCATTATAGAAAATTATGTTTGAACAACCAACAAGATGAAATTATGCTTTAGCGATGCAGGCATCCATTCAGTTATGTTTAGCTATTTTATATAAATTATAATAATGATCTGAAATAGTTACAGTCAAAAGTCGTTAATCCGGACTTGTCGGGACTTCGGCTATTCCGGATTATAGATCATCAGTTTAAATCTGGTAAGATGGCATGCAGAAATTATAAAATTAAAAACATGAAACCGTAATTTATGAAATAAAGAACAATTATGATCTTTAGGGTATTACAATTAAAAAAAAAAAAAAAAGCCTAATATTTATTTGTTTACTTTATTAAACATTTCTTTCAATGTAAGTTGTTTAAGTTGCTTTGTTTTATGTGATAATACTTTCTCTTTAATTCTATAAACAGACATAATTTCTTATTCAGTTACAAAGTTCTGCTGTTCAAGTCATAATTGCTGTGTCGAGAATACCGACTAATTTGTCAATTTAAGGAATTATAAGCCAAATAAAATGAAAACATCTGCCCTGAAGATAAGGGTAGTGCTGACAGATCAACTTCCAATTCATTGCTCCCCTCCCCCCGGCCGCAGAGCAGCGTGAAATTGATAACAGATTTCGGATTTCAGAACATACTTTCGCTTTGTAGATCCTTTACATATTAGTAAATATATATTGGAAATTCTATTTGACATAATCGAAAGTTCAAGCTTACTTTTATAAAATTGCTCTAACAGTCTGCAAAAAATAATAAGTCGGATCCAATTCGAAGATTAAGGAACAACGCAATCTGCAACATTAACTGAATTAGATAATTTTAGCTTAGCTTATACCGTCTGTTATATATTAAACGCGCATGCGTAAACGTATTATGCGCACACGCATATTCGCAGCCGTAAAGGTCTTACGCAACGCATGCGCAGAAAGTTTGTAGCTTTGAGGTCCGAATTAACGACTTTTGACTGTATTTACTTTTAATTCTTCCATTCAGTCATGTTTAGCCTTTTTTATATAAATTATAATAATAAAAAAGTATTATATGAAATTAAACTTTCATCTAAATTAAAACAATAATCTTAGTTACTTGCTATTATACGTCCTTTCTTGCCTTAGGGTTGCCGCAATTATTTTTGGCAGCACTGGCATTAACAATAGTTTGCCGATTTTTGAGGGCCCTCAAAACCAAATAATTTTGTATTTAATAAACTACTAGAAAGTGAAACAAAACTGTGCAACTTCTTTTACAGGAATTAGTTTTTATACATAACTTAGCATAGGAATAATACAGTGAGATTATTATGTTAATTTATTTATTTTCATTTGCAGTGGAATTAATTTTTTCTCTTCTCTCATTTAGGTCCCAAGCAAGAAAGGTTGCAAGACTTTTTGAGTAAACTTTTAGACCCAAGTAACGACTTGCCTAAAACTCGTGCTATGCCCCAGACTCGTCTTTTTAACTTAGAAGAAAAATATCGTGCTGCACTGAACTTGGCAATAAAATCGGGAGAGTACGAAGCATCACAGGTGGCAAAGTGAAGGCCAGTTTCTGACTAGCAGGTTAAAAAAGAAAAAGTTGAAAAAGCTTCCAGCTTGGAGGATGGTATCCTCATTTGCCTTGCATCCAAAAGCAGAGAAAGTGCTTTTTCTGTTTTTATAATACACTTTAAGAGCCACCATGTAACTTAAATCATTCACATTGTTAAAACTTGCTGATATTGTGATACATCTTTCCAACTTGCGGTCGAAAATTGTTGCTGGTTTGAAACTGAAAGTTATGTGTTAAATATTCAAACTGCTGAATGCTTGTTGTGAGTGCAGGGACAGATTTAAAAAAAAAAGTTGGTCAAATGAAACTATTTTGGTTACTAAGTCAAATCATATAAGAATGTCGCACTCTACTGAGGGTGCTATATTTAATTTCAAGATTTTAACTGTGATTTTTGTTAAAGGAATGTGATACATACAAACTCATTAGTATCATAATTGCAAAATAGAATTGAGTGAAATCATTTTAGAATGGATGAGTATAACCTAAAGGCTACCCCGTGAATTTGTTCTGCCTTGTATATAAGTGTTTTGTTCAGCAGGATGGATGTTATCGCTCAAAAAGTGGCACTTGCAGACTTCCATTGTTTCAGATTGGTTTCCTGTGCGAATAATTAGTTTTGTAGTTTTTATGAAAAGGGAAGAAATAGTGAAAATTATATGCCTGTTATGGCTTCACTGATATCACTTATGAAACCGGGCATAGTTATTTTGTTTCATAATATATTTATTCGGCCTTAAAAGAAAATTCTGGCGGTTTTTATTTTCAATTGTTGTGAACTTATAATCCCGTAAATATTTTTGCAGATTTATATTTTTATTATTTAAGCATTTATTTATAAATGTTTTATACAAAAATAAATGACAATTATGTGTAGAAGAGTTCTTTTATGGCATCTCTTAGGAAAGAGTAGACTACAAAAATAACTGATAGTCATTAAAAAAATAACTGTAATTTTATTTTAAATAAATATTTTTCATTTATGAAGTTAATATTTTTTGGAAAAATGTATTTTGTATTTTAAGTACTAATTGAAATAATTTTTATACACCGTTTAAGTAACAATAAAAATATCATTTATACCAATAATAAAACAATTTTTTTGTCGTATATGAAAACCTAAAGAATTATAAGTGCATTTGAATAATGCATTGAATTATTTATTATCATCATTTTTAAGCATCATTATATACAATTTATTATATTTTTCAAGCATATTAAATCAGATGCTTTAGTATTTTCCTTACTTAAAAGGATATATTTTGATTTCACTTCTGTTATAAATCAAAATTTAATATAAATAAATGAATTGCTTGAATATATTACTTATAAGAATTAAAGAAATTAAGTAAGTTGTTAGCATTCTCAGAATCTGTTTATCTGGATGAAGGCATATCTAAGTTACATTCAGTGACAGCAGTTTTGAAATAAAGAGTAATAGTAATCTTTGTAAAATAAGATTGAAACTAATAAATTTAATCTTTATTAGAACAGAATATTATTAATATCAGGATTTGGCACTTTTCAGCATATCTCAAAATGTACTAGATGTTCTGTTCAGACACAAAAAATAATTGTTCTAATTAAAACAATTAAATAGTTGTTGAATCATACCACAGTGCATAGATAAATGTTTGGATCAGGAATATTTTGAATAATCTAAAGTGAAACAAGTTGTGTTATGCTCACATTAGTTTTAAAATACTGATTGTGATAAATTTGTGTATGAAATTATATTAGTCCAGTTTGTTACCTTATCTTTTAAAGTATTAAAATACTGAACTTAAAATGCATTTAGCTGATTTGAAATGATTCCTAGTCATTTTATGCTTAAATGCCAAAGCTTTTTCTTCTTCTTTTTCTCCAGTGGGGAGTTTGTTACTTAGATGCAAATTCTAAAGCAGTAGTAAAGCAAAAAAAAAAAAAAAAATTTTTTTTTTAAAGTTTGTTGAGTTTAACTTTTTACTCATCTCTTCCATATATTTTTATTTGTAGGTAAATAGAAAAAGAATATATTGATCGACTAGGAAAAGTTTCATTAAGCTAAAATCTGTGGGGAAGAAAAAATTAAATATTTCCCTTTTCCCACTCATGCAGGGAAAATTCAAAAATTCATTTTGAATATATGTATATAATATTTATAAAAATAAATTCTTTTAAATTTAATATAATAGTATGCTTTTGTTTTCTTGTTCTTTCTGTACATAAAATGGTGTCTACACAAAAGAACAAAAACAATTACATTATTTGGTCTTCTGAGGTGTCTAAATGGAAAGTAAAAAGAAAAATATGAGAACAATAAAGTATTTTTTTATTTCTGTTTCTTGGTCAATATATTTATGCTAGCACTCACATTACCCATATATTTTTACAACATAGTAAACAGTCGTACCTAGGGTATTGCATTGCTTGGGAACAATCAAAGATTTCATGCCCCCTTCTGTTTGCTTAGAATGAAAAATATTTGATTCTAAAGTATCGTAACATCAGTTTGACTCCTCCTGGATGCTGTGCCCAGAGACAGATTCTCCCTTGTAACTATGCCTAACTGATTATAAATCCCACTTATACCAATAAAAAATGCATTGTATTTTCTGTTTATAAAATGCAACTCCCCCAATTTCTTCCAGTAGCTATTTTGTAAAGAAGTCTTTACAAATAGCAATATATATAAAAAAAGACAGTTACTGAATTAAAGGAAAATTTATAGCTATTAATTTTGAAATATGAAAAACTGGGTGATTTTAACAAAGAAGACTGGGTTTTCCCACTGCATGGGATGTTCTTTCAAAAAAAGTCAATCTTAGGTTCACTGTATTATACACGATTTAGGTTACGAAACTACTTCTAATACATAGCTGCCATTCTTTAATGAGAAACCGGGAGTTTTTGTGCTCATGCCATTTTCAAAACTCCAAGTTGGCTTAAATTCACAATGTAATTTATGATTCAAGTTATTGAACTAATATATGATTCTGATGTAAAATTGATAAATATATAATTAAAGATTTTAAATTTTATGTTCTTTCATTAATATCACTTTATAAGGGACAACTTGCATTTTTATTACTCAAATTTTAAATGGTTTCCTACATAACAGTTCTTAAAAATAACATAATTGAAATGAATCTTAACAAAAATTTTAGTTAAAGAAATATAAGTACTAAAAATTACTACAGCTTTCATTTTAATTAAGATCTTTTTTTCTTTTTTAAACCTAATTTTTAAAGGTACAGAGCTTAACTTTGTTATGTATTTATACGATAAGAAATAAATGAGGAGAATATTATAATAAGAATTGAAATTAATGAATTTTTAATCATCTACATAATCAGCAGTCTCAAATTGGTGGCCCTTGAAGCACACTTCAATTATGTTTTTGTTATAAGTACGGTGTTTAAAGAGTTATTTGAAGTCTATTAAACATGAATATGACTAGCACATTATATTAAATCTGAAAATGGAACTCATTAATATTACACTGTGATATAAATCTTATTCAAAGATACAGATCAGATTAACTTTTATTCACAATTATTGAAAAATAAGTTCATATTAGAAAAGAAAAAGCAACAACCAGTGCTAATATTCGTAAATTTGCAGGACTACTTTTGAAGGTTTAAATATAGAACCACCTTCTATACTTAAGCCTTCGAAATTAGTCCTACAAATTTAATGAATACGCTCAAATCTCTTTTTGAGTGTATTAAGCTGGTTCTTGCTCTTTTAACTCCTCTAATAATCCTATTGCTATCCAGTGTGTTATTTTAATTCAAATATAGTAACATCAGTTACGATTTTTTAGAAACTAAGAATAATTGCTTCATTTGGGATTTATATGTGAACAGTTTATTTATTTTCTAATTTAATGGTTGAAAATTTTTAAAAAAGAACTCTATTGACTAACTAACATTTACAATCTCTGATGATAATTTCTACCTAAGACTATAATATCAGAATTAAAACACCATGTGCAATAAGAAATTATAATAAACATGTATTTTTATTTTCAAATTAAAATTTAATAAATAAGAGAAAGAAACTAGGTCCGAATTATTTATTCTCAAGTTTTGCCCCACCTGGAATATTTTCTCTTAAAAATTTTTATAATTCGTTTTATTTTAAATTAAATTTATTTAATGTTTAATTAAACATATTAGAACAATTTTAAATGTCATTCAGGAAGTTAAATACTAGCAATGTATTTTAAATAACAAAGTGTAACCAGCAAAAGTGCCTTCAAACCAAAAAAATAAATTTGGATTTTTTCTTTGTGATATTATTATGTATGCATGTTTAAATAAATATTTAGTAAGTGGAAAGTAAAAATATATTTACATTTTTTTTATTTTGTTAAGTAAAATTTTTCATAAAAAAATTTGAAAATACCATATTAGAGTACTCTGTTTTCTCACAATATAGTCCACAAGCAATTATATGTTTGGATTTGCGAGGGAAGAGAAACAAAATATGAGAACAATAAAGTATTTTTCTTTTTAATTCTGCTTTCTGGTCAATATATTTATACCAGTATTCACATATCCACACATTTTTACAACATAGTGGATCACATTTGACAATAAAAAGTGCTTTGTAAGAATACTAGACAGCAAATCTTTATATCTGATTTATTTACAAAATGCAGCAATCCTCACTATATTTGAGTAAGATTTATGACCTTGGTATAAAAATAGCAATCAGATAACTTTATATAAAGGAGTTTGTCTGTACAGATTAGAATATCTCTTTAAAAATAATTTTACATAACCAATTTCAAAATTTAATTAAAATAATTTAGAATTAAATAATCACTCATATAATTTTCATAGATTTAAAATTTTACTCTGGTTAAAAATTTATACAATAAAAATCCAAAATCTAATTTTTTTTTAACTTCACTTTCTAAGAAAGCAGAATAAAAACTTATCACAAATGAAAATTTCAGTAAAGCATGAGATTGCCATTCTGCTCACATTTTATAAAAGAAAAATTGAGCATTTAAAGAAAAACTAAAAACATTCTTCAATCATACTTAATACCAAAAGTATAAATACTAAAATCTACATATTATTACTACAAGATTTGTACATAGCAAATGACTAAAGACTATTTACACCTTTAAAACATTTTTACACCTTTTCTCCTCCACCAATGACAAACTATAACATGTCCAGCTGCCAATATGCTTGCATAATTACAAAATAGCTGAACAGTATTTCAGCATTTTGTAAACGATTCTTGCATGTGTCAGTTTTCATACAAATTCTTTATATGTCACATAATAAACATAATGTAAGACACTGTTAAAATTTAGTTCTAACATTAACAGATAAAATTTAGTGACCTTATCCTGAATTATATTTTAAGAGAGTAAATTTAACACAGGAATAATGCACTCAACAAACTTTTTCCAACAACTTCTGGTAATACTTCTAAAATACATATCAATTTTCATCTATAACAGTATTCAGTATATACATACACATGTATGGTGTACTCTTAAAAATTGATATAACATTATTGTTCTTCAATGTTTTAGTAGACTAACAAAGTACTAATATACTTCAAATAGATTATATAATATAACAAAAGAATTTTTAAAATATTAACAAGTGTTGTAACAATCTGATTAACTTTCTAACATTTTTATATAACTTAAATTTTAAGATTCTAAGTGCTTTAACCATTTTGATTTAAAAAGCAAAAAATCTAATTCAGAATTTAAAAAATTACATAAGAGTCTTTAAGGAAGCTTTAAAAGAATGCTCGAGAAATGAATTTCGCAGTATGCAGTTTGAATAACAAATTTCACCATCTTAATGTATGTATATAAATTTATTTCCCATATGATAATTTATAGAAGTGATAATGTTTAGCAAAACAAAAAAAAAATTAAAAGTTTAAAAAATTTAGCAAGCATAAAATATTTATCATTTTAGAAAAATTTATATAAATGTTAATTTACATGATTGATAATGTTTAAAAATTTTAGCATGCACAAAAAATCGTATTTCAGAAAAAAAAAAATTCCTTTAATTATGAAAATGTTGCAGAGGATTTTGAATTATTTCTCATATAAAAACACAAACATGCTGAAAAATTATATTTCTATTAAACATTCTGAAAATGAACCCAGTATTCGGATCTATTTCAAAAACAAACAGAATGTAATACCTGAATGCAAATGCAATTTTTATAAATATTACATAAACTTTTATATTTTAAAATATGTACAAATTATTTTAAGTAGAATTACTTATTTTTAAAATTAAATTGGATTTAAAAAATATGAAAAATACTCAGAATAATTTAACAATTTACTCAGACAGTTAAAAACGTGTTTGAAACTTTTACTCATAATTAAATATAATCCTCCATATGTCAGTCAAATGCAACACACAGGGTCTTGTATTATCTAAAAATATGTGACCTCCCCCCCCCCATTTCAAAATGTTTATATTCAATATCCTTCCAAAGGATAATTCATATTCGTCATTTACAAGAGCTACAAATTCAAGCTCAAACTTATAAAATATCCTTTATAAGGACATCTCAGCTCTGCATTGTTGGAGGATGCAAGTGCAAGAAAAATACTAAAAAGTTAAGAGATCCTATTCCACTGAAAATAGCAATTACTTTCTCTCAATATTCATTAACTCTTCTTTAGAAGAAAATAAGGGTTCATAAAACGAAAGATGATGCTTTTTATATGACTAGTTTTGCACCAGCATTCCAAAAAAAAAAAAAAAAAAATATGTGCACCACTTTGTTTTTGCAGAGCTGATGAAAATAATCTGTACATGAATAAAACTGTATTTCATCAGCTCTGTCCATTACTATTCACAATCTCTCCATGCTTCTCTTGATTTGATCCTAGTGGACAAGTGTTTTTGATTCCATCAGATGATGGAGCTGGAGGGGTGAGTGCTGGACGAGGTTTGTTATTTGTCACCACTGGACCAGGTGCCAAAAACTGCTGAGAGCATGCACTTGCACGGGGTGTACTATCTGAGAACACTTCTGACCTTGTATTGAGTGTTGACATGTTACTATTATTACTATTAATAGAAACTGAGCCACTTGTAACCCCACTTGTTATTGTTGGTGTTGTTGGAGGCTGTGGAGTTCCAACATTCTGAGCCATTAGCTTCTGACGAACTTCTCTGATTTTCAACTGTAAAGTGTTTTTTGTGGGAAATGCTTCTTGGTGCACATGTTGAAACTGTGCAGTTGCCTGAGCTGCAATTAAAATACAGAAAAATATAAGATCAGTTCTTGCTTTTTTTTTTTTTTTTTTTCCCCTCCCAACTAGCATATTATAT